GAATAGGTACCACTTCGGTGGGAAGGTAACAGCATTCCGTGCGCCTTGGTGTTTAGTCATGCCGGCCACATGACCACGGAAACGTCTTCGGACATCGCTGGCTCTTCGGCTTTGAAACGGAGATGAGCACCGCAACCCTAGAGTCGGACTCAACTGGCTTTCGAGCAAGGGAGACCTTTACCTTTTAAGAACATAAGTACACCGTTGTTAGAATATAAGCGCACTTGCACAATTGCAGCTTTCGTGTTCTTTTTTGGTGATCACAGGAGCTGCACCCCCTTCTGTGTGTTGACTGCATGGGGAGAAGCAAGACCTGTCCAGGTGAGGACAGAAGACGTTCAGCGGTAATTTGCCAACTGCCTGCCCGGTGCACGGCAACCGTGGTTTCCTGCCGGGGCTGACACAACGAAGCACCTGAGATCTGATGGGATCGGTCTAGCCTGAGCTATCCAGGTCAGACTGGTTAAGGAAAGGGGCGTGAAGTCGAAGCTGACTTACGGTGACCCGGTGGGGTTTGCAAAGCAAGAGATGAACGGAAGTCGTTTCGCCATTGCCTGCCTCTGCACACCCGCCCTGGACTTCCTCATCGGTCTCCCATCCAAGGACTAACCAGGGCTGACCCTTCTCAGCTTCCGAGATCTGATGACATCGTGCTAGACTGGACCATGCAGGTCGGGACAACGATGAGCTTCCAGAGGATCTTGACTGTCTCTTCCCCCCACCCCCCACCCCAAATTAAGCCTCTAGCTCTCATTGATCCTGGAAAACTGGGCTAGAACATACAGAGAAGAGAAGAGGAAGAGATTGGATTTATACCCCTGCCCTTCACTACCCAAAGGAGTCTCAGAGCGGCTTACAAACCCCTTCCCCTCCCCACAACAGACACCCTGTGAGGTAAAAGAAGAAGAGGAGATTGGATTTATACCCCGCCCTTCACTCCCCAAAGGAGTCTCAGATCTGCTGACAAACTCCTTCCCCTCCCCACAACAGACACCCTGTGAGACAGGCGGGGCTGAGAGAGCTCTTGACAGAAACTGCTCTTATCAAGAACAGCTCTTATCAGAACTACGGCTTGCCCAAGGGCATCAAGCCAGGTGCAAGTGGAGGAGTGGGGAATCTAACCCTGTTCTCCCAGATTAGAGTCCGCGCACTTAACCACTACACCAAACTGGTGAAGGAGGAGGAGGAGGAGATTGGATTTATACCCTGCTGCCCTTCACTACCCAAAGGAGTCTCAGAGTGGCTTACAAACTCCATTCCCTTCCCCTCCCCACAACAGACACCCCGTGAGGTAGAAGAAGATGATGGTGATATTGGATTTCTACCCCGCCCTTCACTACCCAAAGGAGTCTCAGAGCTGCTGACAAACTCCTTCCCCTCCCCACACCC